GGGGACGGGCTGAGGGCGGGGGGCCCGAGGGTGAGGTCGGCTCTGGGGGCTGCGGGGAGCAGAGATGGGGAGGGCGGCACTGCCCGCCGGCCGCGCTGGGATGTGGGGGCCACCTGCTGCGGTGGCCCCCGATGTTACTGAAGGGAAATTATGGTCGTTCTTCAGCTTGGTGGTGTGGCTGGAGGGTGAGGGTGCTCCAGTTAGCCCGGGGACAGTTGGGCTGCCACCTGAAGGGACGAGGGCAGTGGGGGGTTTGTCTCAGCCCCGATGCCAACAGCAGCCTCTCCGTGGGGCACGAGAGAGCAAATGAAAGGGAAGAAATCTGCTTCCAGCTTCTGACCAAGAACTCCATCGATCAGTGTCTAATAGGAGCACAACGGCTCTTTCCAACAGGAAATAGGCAGCTGCCTCCTCTTGCATCACTAGATGCAAGATAAGGGCTGGGGGTTTTTTGTCCTGTAATCGATGCTTTATTTTGAGATGTTTGGAAATACCTCGCGAGGAAGTTCCTCGTTGTAGAGCAGCGTGACCGACGGGGCTCAAACAGCACCGGGGAGGGTGGTGGGGGCTCCACGTCGCCCCGTGGGAGGTGATGCAAAACAAGCGGCTCCACCGTTAAGCAATTTCCCGTCACCAGGGTCTGTCCACGGTGCCTGGCCAGCTGTGGCTGAATGAAGTGTCACGCTCTTGTCACGCTCGCTGTGGTGAAACGAGGGAGATTTGGCATCCCCGAGCGGGGAGGTGACCCTCTGCTCTCTCCCCTCAGACGTTGGCAGGGTGATGCCAGCTTGATCCAGAGCCATGTCCAGGTACCTGAAGCACTTCACGGTGGTGGGGGACGACCCCGTGCAGTGGAACAATGACTATCGGAAATGGGAAGACGAGGAGGAGGAGGTGGCAGCTGGGGACAATGGGGAGAAGCAGCCAGATTCAGAGATCAAGCTGGAGCCCACCAGGAGCCGCGTCTCCTTCCAGGACATGATGAAAAAGCTCTTCAGCTCCCGCAGGTTTCAGGTGAGGCAGGACAAACCCAGGCCAGAGGGAGATGAGGGTGAGATTTGGCCAAAGGCACCTGGGACAGCAGAGCTGATGTGGGATGGCGCTCGGGGCGGGCTGGGAGCAGCACCCAGCTCGTGAGCAGCTCATGAGGGCGGCTGCTGCCTCCGAGCTGGGCCCTCCTGTCGCAGCGGGTGCAGGTGCTTCCTGAGCGGCGACAAGCCTCAGTGCTCGCTCGTCACGGCACCGGCAGAGGCACGTGCTCTCCCCCAGCTCGAGCTCCCGCACCAAACAGTGGGAGGAAACGTGGGGAGACAGGCAGTTTTGTGCAAGGCAAGACTTTGCAGGAGTAACCCACCGACCAGGAGCAGTGGGAGTCGTGAAATGGAACCAACTGAATCGGGGACACAGGGCAGGGCCTGGCCACACACCCTGTGTGAGCACTGAGACATGTTTAGCTGAAGGCTGTGTCAGCTCCTCTTGGTGATATCCCCGTGTTGGGAGAGGGTTTCATATTGGTTCTTCTCCTCCAACAGATCTTGGTTGTCTGCTTGGTCATCCTGGATGCCTTGTTGGTGCTGGGGGAGTTGCTTATGGACTTGAAAATCATCCATCCAGACAAATACAATATAACCCCGAAGGTAAAATGCAGGGAAGTGTCAGTGGGAACCGTGATTTCCCTCTTTGGTGTTCAAAGCCCACTAGATAGGACAACCAGGCAAGACCTCAGCCTTCAGCCCTGCCGAGCTGGCAGTTGCAGGCACAGGGACGAAGGTCTGGCCGGGACGAGTGTGACAGCCCTGCAGCGTGCGGGGCCGACCCGACCCGGCTCGGGCTTGTCTGTGCAGCAGCTTCGTGTTTCCATGGGCTGTGGCAGAGCTGAATTGTTCTCGCCACCCTTCTCCCAGTCATCACACCTCCGAGTCCGGCTTACCCAAAGCCACTGGCTGCCACATGCTGGCTCTGGTTGTCCCGTAGAGCAGAAGAAAAGTTCCCAGCCCTTCTTGTAGAGCCAAATTAGACACGTCCTCAAGTGGTGGAGGTTTTCTCCAACACAGGAGGGTTTCCTGGCTCTAAACTTGCACTGTCTTTTCCCAGGTTTTCCACTACCTCTCCCTTTCCATTTTAACCATCTTCCTGGTTGAGGTGGGGTTTAAAGTCTTCGTCTACCGCTGGGAGTTCTTCCACCATAAGTTTGAAGTGCTGGATGGGGTTGTCGTTATCGTGTCGTTCATCCTCGACGTTGTCCTGATCTTCCGGGAACACGAGTTTGAAGCTGTCGGGCTGCTGATACTCCTGCGGCTGTGGCGAGTGGCCAGGATTATCAACGGTAGGTGTGTGCGCCCGGTCGGGAGCTTTCCCTGGCACTTGGGCTGGATTTGCTGACCTTGCCTGAATTATCTGGGCTTGTGTCTTTGTTTCTTCCTCAAAGTCATCTGCAAGACCCCAGGGTCTTGCTCTCCCAGCGAACTCAAAGTTTTGCCTGCGTGGTTTTTCATTGCTGAAGCATTAATTAGGCTGTGATTTCTTTGGAGCAGCAATAATCTGCTGCTTGTGTTGGTGCTGTGCCTCAGTGACGGGGGCAGAGCAGCTGCCTGGCGCTAGCAGAGATCCCCAGCTCTAGCACGGCAGCACTCGCACATTCCCCTAAAATCAACCCTTAATCCGTTCTTGCATCCCTCCCTCCTGGAGGGGGCTGGCTCACATCTTAAATTTGCATTGTAGGATCCTTTTGGCAATGTTTTAACCGGGGAGAAGGGTAAACCCCTGCTCTCCTCGATCTACTGCTGTGGCAGAGTGAGTTTAACTGCTCTGACATTCTGCTGCAACTCTGTCATCCCCTCCAGGGATGCTGCAGGGAACGTCCTGATCTCACTCTGGATCTGTCTTGCTTGGATTCAAAGGGCTCGCTGTAAAAAGAGGAATATAAAATGTCCCCAAATCAGACTTTACCGACTCTGCTGTTGTAAAATCAGACTTTACCGACTCTGCTGTTGTAACTGTAAATTGCTGCAGATAGATGTAAACTCAGACACTACTGAAACAAGTGTAGCTGGAAACATTTTCTGCCTTCTGAGGGAAGAGACTTTGGGATGCAAACAAACAAAAAAAAAAATGTGGCCATGAGATTATCTCTAATTCCTCCATGAAACCTCAGCCCGGTACTGCCCTGTGCCTACAAGTGCTCTGTACTTGATGCAGCTTCTAGGTCTTTTAGCTGGAATAAAAGGAGAGGGTGGCTGGGACCGGGGCTGTCACCTGCGGCCCCTCGCTGCTCTTTTGATGGGGAGAACGAACGTGCCTGATCGGCGGCGGTGGCTGGGAAAAGGGAAGATGTGAGAGCAGCTTGTGGCTTTTCTTAGTTCAGAGAGAAAGTCGGAGAGAAACAGCATTTGTGTGCAGCTGCGTGAGCCACGGGAACCTCGGTGTCTCTTAACACACCATTTCACAGCAGAAAACCAGTATTGTGTTTACACCAAAACCCCTCACCCCTGGTTTTCCCCCCCCCCCCCAAGCTTTTTGCCCTGCCTGCCTGCTTGGAGCAACTGAGGGGACAAAGAAAATCTGCCCTGAGCTTCGGGTGTTGTGTGTCTAAACCTGGGCAGGGCTCACTGCCTTGGGTGGCTGTCGCTTGATAGGGAGCGGGTTACAGGCAGGTGGGGGCTGTTTGATGTTATCAATGCAAATAAGCAGCATCGCTGCTTTGTCTTCAGAGAAATGAACCCCCAAACCTTCAAGCCTGCTGCCTGTAGCACTAGAAACTGCCTTCGAGCACGTTCTGTCAGCAGCTGGAGGAGAGCTCTGTTGGGTAGGAAGAACGTGATGTTCTTGATGTTCTTACGAAGCTTTTTAAAATTTCTTACATTTCTTTCCCCCCCCCCCCTTGGAAAAAGGTGGGAAGAAAATGCCTTTACTGTGGGGGCTAAGTTCACGTGTAACAATTTTTCAGTCGAGAAGCGACACCTCCCTGGTGACGAACCTCAGTGCCCTTGCTGCAGCCAAAACCTTAAGGAGCAGATGATGTTCCACATCCCGCTGCGATGGGCCACGAGCCTCGTGCCCCGGGCTGTGCTGCGCACTGCTGTCAGAGCAAGGCTCCCCCTGAAAACACAGCCCCTCGTGGCAACAAAGCTGCCAGTTACATCCCCCTCCGGGCTCTGCCAAGGGAGCAAATTCAAATTCAGGATTTGAATGACAGTCTGACTGATTAATTCAGCTCAGAGGCCAGACTGCCTCTTCCCAGCAGAGTATCGGTATCTGAATCCCTGGGGTGGCTCGTTTAAAACCCTCCTCATTAAGAAAAGCACTTGGGAAGGGTGGTTGGAAGATGACAGAACCAGAGCTGGAGAGGAACACGTTTAACTCCTTGACTACAGACCCCACGTCCTGTTCACCTCCTGCTAGCAGCTGTTTTACGCTGTAAAAATGAATCCACTGTGAATCGTTTCGCAGGAATAATTCTGTCGGTAAAGACCCGCTCTGAACAACAAGTGTCCAAGCTAAAGCAAGCAAACCTGAAACTTGCAACAAAGGTTGAACAACTGGAACACAGCTGTGTAGAGAAGGTAAGAAAATGCTTTTAATTTAAGCAAAAACCCTCAGGACAAGCTGGTTTGGGATCCTTTTGCCAGGTTGCCACAGTCAGCTTGGTTTCATCAGAAACTCGTGGGGTAACCTGGGACAAAGAACCACAACCCTGCCTGTCCTACTTACTTTAGCCAGGTCGCCCTGTTTTACTGCAGCTCAAGATAGGTTTCAGCAGTGGGAAGATCTGTGGGAACCCGGGAAACTATTTTAAGATAAGAACTATATTCATGATTTGACTTTTTCTTTTTTTTTTCCCAACAGGAGCAAGAAATTGAGAGGCTTAACAAGATTTTAAAAGACCACGGACTCATCAGCGAGCGAGGTTCCTGAGGAGGGGGGGAGAAGTCTGCCCTGGAGAGTGCAGTGTTGAAATGTACCAGTTTGACCTGAAAGGTTTTCCTCTCTCTTTGCTTTCTCTTGTATAGTGTTGTCTGTAAACGTTTTCTATTTGACCACACTTTGATTAGATCTTGGGATTGCAGGAATAATTTTGCTGGAAAATTAATCACGCGGCCTCCCCGTAAACAGTGATTTCGTAAGACGTTTCTTGTACAGTTGTACAGTTCAAACGGCAAAATAATTTAATAAAGACAACTTTACAAGCTATACATTTATGAAAGTACCGCTGACTTTTGCTGAATTTTTCTGCAATGACATGCTTTGTTTGTAATGTCTTGTAGAAACTTGCAGAGCAAACGGTAAGAACCCAGGCTGAAAAGGTCGTTTCTTCTCTCCAAGCTGACCCTTCATCGTTAAGTGCATCTCTTCTTTGCCAACCATTCTTTTCATATTGTTGGTACTTTCCTCATTTCTGTTGCTGCTTGTGCCGCTTTGTTATTTATATAATATTCATTTCAAAAATACCAACACACCACTCCTTTTAGTTGACAATCAAATCAGCACCAAAATAGAGGCAAACGTGTGCCACCTGACGTCAAACAATGCCTCGTTCTCAACAGCAGATTTGAGGTTTGATGCTGCATTCTCTCGTCTCTTCTTCCATTTTAAGCGTTCGTTTGCAGCCCGCTGGGCTACAAAGTTCTTTTGTTTCCAGAGCTCATAAATCAACATATTAAAAGAATTAGAATATGTAAGAAGAGATGTAGGTGAGTGGACTGCTGGGGACAGTTAGACTCCAGGAAAGCCGTTAGGAAACCTAAAGGACCAGACTGGTGTTTGAACACAACATGAACTTTTTCAGGTACTAGAAGGTCCCCGTGGAGAGACTTATTTTATAGTTGAAGACCAAGATTCGGGTAAGTGGGAATTTAGAAAGGTGTTGACTGTAGCAGGTGTCTCCAACTGATTTCAGCCAGAGTCAGCTGGAAGGGTCACTGAGCTTTTCTGAAAGCATCACTTAACTGTTTGGATTTTTCAAGAAAGGTAATTAATTAGTGGTTTGGGAAAAATAGCTAGAAATACGTGGCTTATTCATCTATGAGGTGAGATAAAGCAGAAGCCTTATCTACTAGCACATGATTACTTTAATTAACAAGTTAGCTCTGCTCAGTTCCCGGAATAATGAAACCCAGTTTCCTACGGAGCCGTAGCGTGTCCCTGTGCTCTCCCTGGCCCCTCCTGCCTCCACACTCTAGGCAGGCAGCTTGGACTAGTGCTACTTCAGAGCGGCCACTGGGCTGGAAGGCTGGTGGCTGGATGTGTGCTGACCGGCCAGCTAGAGCGTCATCAAGTTCATCCTGCAACCCTTTTTCCTCTCTGCAGAGGTATAACTGGGAACTTGCCACTGATGTGGGTTTTTTCCTGCCCTAAAGCTTCTGAGAACCCTTGTAAGGGCTCACCCTTTCTCTCTTGGCAAATTTTAACCCAGTGTGTCTACAATTTAGAAGAAACTGATGGCCCACTGCAGTGACTGGATAAACCTCGCTGTAGGAAATGGGCTAAAAATTTTTTACGTGCATACTTACCTTAGACAAAAGGAAAGAAAAAATCAAAGGGTAACTTGACATTAATGGTGGGCCAAGCTTTATAGCCTGGCTCTGCAGGTGCAGAAATATCAGTGAAAACAACAGAACTTGTTATAGGAATCGTCCTTTCCCTTCCTGAGGGAAGCTGCAAGGAAAATACAAACGTTCATTAGCTTCAGCCTTCTCTTTGCAGCACTACTTTACCTGGACTGGGCTATATTTTCAGCTATTCTTTGTAGTAACTTGTTTTTTTCATATACAGTTCCACGTTTCTTTTCATGAATGATGTATAGATTTTTATTGAAGTGTGTTTTGGCAAGCAGCCCACAGTTGTGTTTGAGTTGGAACAGAAACTGTTGGGTGCAATATGTTCTAATAAGAAGTGTTACCTTTAGATAAAGAGATTAACTGGGTCACTTATTGCACAGCCAATACCCAATGGCTTGGTTTGCTTCTTTTTATCTTAAATCCTGTAATTTAATTACATACCTGCTTCGCTGTGGTGGTAGTGATTGTTGCTGTAACGTTCACTATTCTGGCTTGTGGATTGACCAGGGATCCATATTTAGTCCACTTCACTTCTATTTCAAGGGATACCGGTATTTGGCATGAGCTCTGAAAAGTGTTATAAATTCTCTCATTGTCTGACTTGTACGAGAGTGACCACATTAATTATTCATCTTATTAAACTGGCAGAATGCCCCCAGAAAGCTCATGCTGGGAGGTTACCGGAGCGACTGCACCATGGCTGTGCCCTGGACCGCTGCCTGCAGCCTTGGCTCAGGTGTCCCTGCAGTTTCTCCACAGGTGACAAACTGACTCTGTAACTGCACTTCAGGCAGGACTGTTCCACCTGAGGCAGGACTTTGGCTCTTGGTGACAGTGCTGAGCTGGCTCTTTTTAGTACAAAGATGTATTTCAGCAACATCGCTGGAACAGTAGAAAATCCTTAACTCTGTCAGGACAGAATTTTGAAGCTATACAATCTTAAATACTTTTAAGTATTTCTTCTTGAACCACCAAGTTTCTGGTTACAGAAATCATTCACTATTTAGCTGCAAAAGCATACAAGCTGTCCTTGGGAGGGTGCTGTATTCAGCACCCACCCAACAGCAGGGTCTGCACTGCATGGGGAGGGGAAGGGCTGGGACAGAAGATGTGGAGAATAAACGTGTTGTTTGGCTCACTGTTTCTGTGCTTTAAAAGATTCTTGCTATCTTACTCTAGCCTGGTATAAGAGCACCAAGTAGAAATGCTGATTCTGTTACTTCACTCTTCCAACCTTGCCAGTTGTGTGTTTCAATCACATCTAAACAGCAAGAGACTAAATTGTGGTTAGAACTGGGTTGTTTTGTACCTGACGTGTTGTCCTGATCCATAACTGAGGATACCAGCTTGATTAAATGTAAACTCTGTCCTTACAGCAAGAGTGAAACCCCTTGTTTTTTAATATTCCAGGAAGACTTCCCTTCAGTTTGATTCTGAAATTTTTTTCTCCATAGGTCAGAGAAGACTAAACTGCTGCTACAGCACAGGTACAGATGTCAGGAGAGAGGACAGTGGGAGTGAAGGGGGTGGTGGTAGTGGTGTAACTTTCACCTGTTCTGAGGTGTGGAGGTGAGTTATTGGCACCCAGTCGAGCACATCCTGGGCTTGAGAATTTCCAAATGAGGCCACGTATTCAGGAAAGCTTTGTCCCTTCAGTAAATCTAGGAGGGTCTGAGTCAAGGGTTGGCATTTCATAGCTGCTGTAATTCTTCCAGAAAAAAAAAAAAATTAAAAATGATGAGTTAAAGCAAAATCCATCACTTTGGCACAGTAATAATTTCTCCTTGCTCTCATGCACTGTTCAAGCCTTCTGGCTACAGTTGCTAATGTACACAATCTTTTCAAGAGAAAGGCCATTTTTAATTAAATGACATTTTTTATAATTAAATACCCCATTCCCAATACTGCTACAGCTGTATAAATGTCTCAGGACCTGAACAGATCCTAATGGAAAGGGTTGTCGGAGGGTTAAATAAAAAAAAAAAAAAGTCCTCTTACCGTAACTTACAGCCCGATATCATGTTATAACCAAATAATACTGGGGTTCTGGCTCCCTGTGCTGCCAGACAGTCCTGGTTGGATGTACTTTGCAGAATGGTAAGTTGACTGTATTTGTTAGTATTCTGAATGATGCCAGATGTAACACACAGTTAAAGGGAAATTCAATACTTGATGTATATCATGAAGAAAGAATCCTTACTCATATCCTTAAAATATATCTGAAAGTGCTATAATAGCTCAAGACTCCTCTTATGCTGTGAAAAAGCACTAGAGTGTACAATGAAGGGCTAAATCTATCTCAGGAAAAAGTCCCAGGAGATTGCTGTCAGGACTGAGTCATTCGCTACTCCTAAAACTTAGCCAAAAAAAGCCCACTTTTACTTTTGGCAAAGAACAGATATATTTTACAGATGTCCATGCTAGAAAATGTTTGTGAAGACAGAGCAGAACAAGTGCTGCAAACAAAATTTCAACAGGGAAAGGATATCCTTGTGGCCGGAAGCCTGCTCGGAGAGGCAGTCCAACAACGTAACCTGGATTACCACTGAGGGGAACTGGCTTTGTATTTACCTGCAGTGCAAACGTACGGTGTTAGTTCTTGTCCTGTACTGAAATGCTTGGAAAACACAGAAATATTTCACTTGGTTTAGGATTAACTGCCTTGAACAATGATAAGTAGTAGGAGTGCTCTGTAAAATTGTAACAGTTCTCTAATACTGGAACAGGCTTTGCTTTCACTGGATACAGTTATACAGAGTCACAAGATGATTCTTCTAAACGTGAGGAACAGACTTGAGAGACTTTTATTGCCCAGTTCTGAAATGCTGCCTTACTTGAGTATCCAGGGCAAGTTACATTTTACCTTGCTGCTAACAATTGTTCTGATTCAAGTTTAATAAGTTTTGTAATTAAATGTCTTTCAACAAGTCATCCGTAACATCTCTAGCAGTTACCTGAGTAAAGCTGATTTCAAAGCTCTGCTGTATTGAAAGTGCTTCTTTGTTAATTGCCCCCAAGACAAAAGAAGCAGCTGCTTCTATTATTTCTCCTGCGTCTGTGTATGTAATGTGATAACTCACCTGAAAATTAAACAGTTTGGATATGAATTAGAACAAATACATAAGAGTATGAAACTAAGAAAAAAAAAAAAAAAAAAAAGGAATTTAAAATTATGTAAGTATTGTTTTCTTTCTTCCGTGCTTAAGAAACACTCAACTACATGGTAGAGATATACTATATCCTCTGAAGGCTGGAGCCTCTCCAAAACTGATTCCTTGATAAACCCCTTCTAAGCATAACCCAACGTTCATCTATTTAAGATGAAAAGATGATTCGCACTGTGTATTCCTGTCTCTGCCACCACTGTGCCTGAAGTCATCTTCTCCCAAGCGTAATAGAGATTCTAAACTCATGTTATTGTCTGTTATGTCACATACACACAGTAATAACAGAAAAGGATTTCACCCTGTCTCCCTCTTATGTTGCATATAGTTATTATTTTGTTGCAAAACACTCACTTTTTATCCCAAAGTCAGTGTTTTTCCTGTCACATTTGCTATAGAGATGTCACGATGTATGGAATCTGTGCAAGGCCCTTCTCACATCTTTGTAATTTGTGCATCAGAAATTATTTGATGCAGACATGCTTTCCATCAAACGCGAGGAGGAAAAGAACTGTCGTACCTACCCCAAGAACTATATTTATGCACAGTTCATCCAAAATCATAGGGAGCCTGAGGACATCGCTACCATTAAGTAAGGTCCGCATTCCATTCAGAGACTGGACAACTATGGACCGGACAGTAATATTAACCTGAAAAACAAATTCGTGACATTTCTGAATATTGTGTATAATTATTTTTGGCTTTTTCTGTATTATTATATTTGTGACCCTTCCGGGTTCTGTTCCACAGAAACAGCAGCCAACTCTGAACAACTGCTGTGTTACGTGCATCCCTGAAGTTCAACAAAAGGTTCTGTTTTTAAGTAACTAGAGAGAGTTACTTTAAAAAAAGAGAGTTTTGTATGAGGGGAATGCATCAGGCTTAAATGTTTGCTGGCAGTGTATTATCTTGGAGTTACTAAGTATTATTAATGATAGCAAGTGAGGGAAATTTTTTTAATTTAAAGATTAAGTCCCTGTTCTGATGAAGTCAGCAGAAAACTCCCACTGACTATAACTGAGTAAGAATTTTGCCCCCAGCTGTTCCAACTAAGTTAGAAGGATACTTACCATCTGACTTGATTTGGGCACCTAGAGAAGAATAAAAGAACAAATTCAAACAATAGCAAAGGTATGACCCATTACAAGTAGCAGTGAAGTAAAGCATTTTAAAGCTTAACTGCTTTGCCTATTTAACTCTGTATCGTTATGATAACTTTTACGTTGTGGAAGTGATTGGGTAAACACTGCTCTATCCAAGCAGTGTGAAAATAACTGGCATTCTCTGTGGCTAGGTGACAAATCCTCTTCTTTCCCTGACAGTAACTAGAAAATTTCTTAGTGACTTCCATCAGTTTTGCATCAAGCCTAGCTTTGACTACATTCCCAATAAATATGCATTGCATTAAATAAGTATTAGGTGAATCCGGTGTTTCCCTTGGACACCCTATTTGCAACTCAGAACTAAGAAACACTGAAAAAATTGACTTGCATCAGAAAGGTGACCCGAGAAAGGCATCTCAAAGTTTGGCATGAGTGTTACTGTGCATCGTTATCGTTTGACCTATTGAGGGCGTCAGGGAACACTGTTCCTATGGCAGATCTGTGCAACGTAACTATTCATAGACTGAGAGTTTAGGAAGTCAGCCAGGCTGTTCGTACCCAAAGAAATGAGCTTTTGTTGTCCCGTTCTGACGGTAATGAGTCCACAGTTTCACGGTGTCTAAACTAAGAAAGGAGAAGCAACTATCCCTCTTTGTTACACAGCACGTGGACGTGCACAGTTGCCCCACTGGAAAATTTCCACCAAATTTTCATGGAAAAGCAGAAATGTCAGACCAAGAGCATCAATCAGGCCTGAAAAATACTCACATAGAGCACCATTTTCTTAAAAGTTTTATTTTCGTGACTTCCCAATGAGTGTCTAATTCACATCTTTGGGAAGGGACCAAAAATTTTCCTCTGACTGTGAAGCAAGTTCTGCAGAACTCTGACAGGATACAGAGACCAGTTTGCTCATCTAACATCACGGCAGAGAACACATTCCTGAAGGAGATGCAGGGAAAATACACTGTCACATATTTATATCAACATCCTGAGGTACAGCTCAGCCATCAGAATTAGCTGTACGAATAGAAGTGCCGGTAAAGATTAAACTCATCCTTCAGGGAAGCATGCTCTTTCTGACGAGGGTAGACAGAATGATCCCCACTCCTAAAATTCTATTTATCAGTGACTGGGGTGACGGATTATGTTTCTGTAGACAGCACTCCAGTCTTACTGCTGCCTCCCACTGACTCATCTTCCCACCAGCCAGGGAGGCAAGCAGGGGCAGGCAGCAGCACAGCATCCCCAACACCCCTCGCCTCTGCAGGACAGACCAGACAGAGCAGAGATTAACGGCAGGAATTACCAAAACCTTCCTGTCACCCAAGTTGCCTGGCAGTGAGCACGGGCTCATAACGAGGGGTTTTTTGAACTGCTGTACCAGTCCTCTCTCCGGGGACTCCCCCCCGGGACGATGTGTTTTGCTATTTCTTTTGCCGGCAGCTCCACCTGCTGGCACCGGGAGGGCTCCCTGCTCTGCCCTGCGACCACCCTGTCTGTCCCCAGTACCAAGTCACGTCCCATCTTCAGCTCCCTTGGGGAAGGGGAGCTTCCTACAGACCATCTCATAGAGTCTGTTCAGCCTTCTCCAGTCCTTGCATCGGATCCTTCCTGAATGTCCGAGGTACTTCGGACACAAATCTGACCTCTCCTAAGCTGGGCCATTTTAATTGCCAAGCAGCACGCCGGGAATGTGTTAGGCACTGTTCTAGTGAGGAAGGGGAATTCAGCTGTTAGTTCAAACACATTCAGCTGCTTGGAGCTTGTCCTGAGGCACGCTTTTTCTTTTCTGGTTCTGCAGCCACCAAGAACTCAAATTTTGGGTGCACATGGAAATGCTCAAAAGCCCTTCTGAGGCCGTTTTTCTCCACCTCTTCCACAGGAGGATGATCAAAAGGTAACAGCTGTGAGCAACCCTCTGCTGATTTCAGTGAGGTCCTCAACCATCAGGAGAATGATCCCACCTGTGAGAATGTCAACTACTTGCTGGGCTTTCCCTTCCTGTTGATAGCTTTGGAATGTGGGGGGACTGGAGGGGGTCTTAAAGCAGTCACTCACTGGAGAGTACTAATTAAATTACTGTAAAGAATTACATAAATTTAAAACATTTTAATGATGGAGAGTAGGCTGTTTCTCAACGATCTTCAGCTTCTGGAAGGAGCTATCAAGTTAAGGTATTATGTATTTCTGTTTCAATTTTGCATGCATGATTTATCTTCCTGAATATCTGTAAAGGGGATTTATTTATACATAAGACATCATCCTCCAGTTCAAAAAGGAACGAAAAAGTAAGCTTAGCTTTGAAAAATAACCACAGACTGGATTTGGTAGTAGGCTGGATACAAACAAATTTGCTCTCAGTGGGGTAAAAGGTCATGTTCTTTGAGGAGTATAAAGAAGGCTTAGCATGCATGTGCAGTATCTCACTATTAAGAACTGAGGTTTATAAAGAAAGGTATACATGCAGAGGATTAAACCTTACAGGTTCTTTTTAAAGAGTTGGTAAACCTTTGTACTTAAAACCCAGACTTCTCAGAATTATCTGCCCTGGTAACAGGCTTCTGGGAAAAACCTGAACATGCACAAAAGCATAAAACCACTGCCACTGCAGTGTTAGCTCAGTGACATAAGCTTGTCTCTTCAAGACTATTATTTTTGTCGGCTTAGCAAAGAACAGTAAATGTTTCTGTTACCAGACCTTGAAGTAAAAACATTTCCAAAGGCTTTCTATGTAAAAGTCTACTGCATAGGGAGATTTTTTTTTTTCCCCAACCCACAACTTAAAAATCCAATAAAACACCATATCCTTTAGTAAATAGAAGTTACTTAATTCTGGAGATGCAAAAAAGTAATATCAATGGTCAGCTCTATTACTGTTTCAAATCATACTTACTGCTAAAATGCTGGAGTTGATATAGAACAGCATACTAGCTGCTTGAATGTTGCCACATTTTTCCACACTTACTGATCTAGTACATTTTGTAGCCTGGTTTACTAAAAACCCTAGAAAAAAGAGTATTACCGAACCAAATTAAAGAGTAATTATAAAAAGCAGAAATAAAAACCAATACGAAAACCTCAAGTGTAAGCAAAAGTGAAAGTAAATATAATTTCTATTGCAGATAAGGTTCTATGTGAGCTATAAAGAATGATACTTTCTTAGATTGTCCAAAAATGCTCTGAGACAAATATTATTTCTTAACAACAGGTTAATAAAAGCTAAAGGAAGATTTATTACTTCATTTCTGAGATCTTATACGGGGTTTTTTCTTTCACAAGAGACTTCAGTTTTCCTATGGTCATCACCATGGCTGTTATGATAACATACTTAATAATAACAGTGGGGTTTGGAAAATGTAGGTATGTGGGTTTGGTTGTGGCTTTTTTTTTTTTTTTTTTCCCCTCCACCTCTGCAGATTTTCAGGGAACTGTGTGAAAGATTAAAATGTAAGGCTCAAGCCTGCAAGTCTGACTTGAGTTGTACTCAAACTGTGAAAGGAACCTCATTATACCACAGGGACATCTTCCAAAGGTTGCCCAGTTAGGTCTTGCTTTCTCCAATAGCCTCTTCCCTCACGGTGTCACCCTTGTCCTATTTATTAAATCAATTATGTCAAATGGGATGTCTTACTGTTGGATAAACAAGCCATTAACAAGCCTCTCAAGGATTTACATATCTAACTTTGAACGTTTAATATAGATACAGCGCAACTTCCAACCTCTGTCTAAAACCCCTCCCAGAGAAACAGAAGCTATTTGAAAAACGTTTGTTCATGAATCTTTACCTGAATTTACATTTGAGTGGGTGCCAATTTACTGACTGATTAAGCTCAAATCAGAGCAGAATACTCTAAAGCAATTAAAAAAAAAAAAAAAATAAAATATTAAATTGCATTTTCCAACCTGCAGGATTCGCATCAGAACACCACGAGGAGACAACAGGACTAGGTAGTCTTAGAAATGCATCCACTGTCTGTATAGGAACACCATACTGCCAAATAAAACAACATATTCAAGTATAGAGGTGTGTTTCAGTCCGTGGATTTGTATTAACAATAAATCTGTATAAAAGTACTTATTTTCACTATATCTGTCAATACTGTACACTACCTTGTGCATCAGTTCTTAAGCCACTGCTCACAGCTTTATGTTAACTCTTAAACCACTGATAACAACTTTATGTTTACAAAAGCAAAGCAGCTACTTATTTTTCAAAGATCTTAAAAATCTAGTTCACTTTTTAAGTAAGCTAACACAAAATGCTACACTTCTTAGTTTTACATTTCTATATTTAAAGGCAAAAATAAAATTTGTCTTTTCCAGAACTGCATTTTTTAAAAAGCAGATGCAAACGATACTCACTTGTTCTTTTATGGAACAACCTAATACTGATAGAATCAGAGAGTTATTTACCTCATATCTGAAAGTTTCATTCGCATCAGAAGGACTTTGAGCATCTGTGTTCATATGCCAGCTGTCAGGCTCAGCACTAAAAGAAGCACTTCTAAACTGTTCAAGCAACTGATCAAAATTTTCAGGAGTAGGCATTTCAGGGGAACTGAAGGAGAGTGCTTGTTTATCTGTCAAAACATGTTAAAGAATGAGATAACCTTTATGATAAAAGATACAGAAGTGGCATTTAGTAACAATTTTTCCATCTGGAGTTGTTAGTTACAGAAAAATATCAATGCAACTTTTAAGAAAAGCTTTCTCTTTTCTTGACAAGAAAAACAAGGCGGCATCTTAATTCAACATTTCACACAGGTCCATGAAAACACAAACTTAAGAGGTAAAGCCCTTTCTTTCAAAATCATGTTTTCTGACAGTATATGTTCCCAAACAAAGACATGCCAATTCATGTCTGCAGTTTTCATGCCAAGTATGAGATGACAGTCATAATTAAATTAAGAAAACATAGCACTGATCACTTCTTCTCTGCAAGTCACTTCAAAGCTGGGCATAAAGGATTTGTACCACTGGTGACTATTACATACAGTGACAGACCAGGAAGGAGTCAGTTTCCCATGAAACAACTTCAAATATGATTTATTGAGGATGCTAAATTCTTTACAAGAAAAAACACCGCCAAGATCACAATTTTTTTCCAACAAATACGACTAAAAGAGTATGAGATGTTTTAACTCCATAGTTTCACAAGTAAAGGGATTACAAAATAAGGACTGTGAGCATACAGAATAACCAGTTTCTGACAGGTTTGGTTACTTTTAATTTTAGTCTGTTTCTGGTACCTAAAGAGCTTATAAAAATAACAGCACAACGCTTAATATTGGCAACAACTCTACTTACAGTTTGTAGCATGAATGCAGAAAACACTGGGATTGACTTGGTCAATTAATTTAAATATCCTTTCTGGTGGATTTGCTTCAACATCAAGTGAATATATAGCAGCTTTCTGACTACAAAGATGGCTGTCACCTCTGCAAATAATAATAATACAATCAATAATCCACTAGAAGTTAGTACTGACTATATTTTAAAGTTCTTTTCATGTATTGAAGCAGCATCAAAATAAGCACTAAAGAGATTACTCTTTTTAACACAATTTGTCCAGCAATTTTGCCTCTTTAGAAGGTTTATTGTTTTGTCCTCTGTGCTTAGTAATAAGCAAAAGAATTCCACAACATGTTTTATCAGGCAGAGGAAAAACTGTGTGAGCAGCAACATGAAGAAAGGTAAGAGACAGACCAGGGGGAAGGGAAGAGCCCGACTAATAATATTAGAGCTAAAATGACAAGTTGGATGGGATCCAGATGGTGTGAGACACCACAGATGCAGGGTGCACTACAGGCTCAGAAGCACTTTTATTTATACAACACAAGTGGGAAGTATGACCTTTAGGGTAACGTGATGGCATGTAGACCAGAAAAAAGGTCAGTTTTGTGAATGTTGGAATGATATTCACTTTGTGGGAGGGAGCGGGAGAAAGTCCTACTTGAAAGCACATAAAAGAAGCGGCAAAGTGAGAAACAGGGAGGTGAAGTAACTCATCCGATCTAGGAAAAGTATTTGTAGATGTGCCATGGTTCATCACCAACAGCCCAGCACTGCAGCAGGCTGCAGAGCGAATGTGCCAGTTCATACCCTGAAGAGTACTGGTGTGTCCTACATGCTAGAAATACAAGACGATGATCCCTGTGAAACTGGTGCTTAGGCAGGGTTAAAGCAATCAAGGACAGGTACTGAAAAAGTGAAATGGCTTAGGAATTATTTTTTAAGCATGGAGCTAAACCAACCCATTCGTTAGTAGGCTAACATCATATATCAAACACCTTTTTCCTGCTGTTTCAGAGACCACATAGGCTATTACTTGTGATCAAACCCTTTCAGTAACTAACACAATTATGCAGATGTATATAATGAGATCCACAATACATGTGGTCACTGAAAATCCCATGGATTTTCAGGCACACAAAAGACTTTGGAGAAAGAAACACACAACTTCTTTTTATGCATTTCTAGTTGGCAAAGACAGAATAGTCACCTGAGACAATTAAGCTGTCACTCAGGAAGGCGTTGATTAGACCTTTCTGATATATATATAAATATCTATAAATGGGTAGAAGTAGTCATTGTGTGCAAGAACAATAAGAAACCACGGTCTGGGATGACTGCTAATTCAAATTTCAAAGCACCGAGAATAACCCCCAGTATTCAAATTGGCGTAATTTATGCAGAAGGTGGGTTGAAGAGCTGTACTTATTGTTCTGACAAGTCACCGAGAGATTTTCTACATTATAGTTTTGAAGTGAGTTTTCTTAACTTCTGTTGAGAAGATTTTCAAATTGGGTGAAGGCATTTTCAGATAAACTGTAAAAATCAAAGAAACAACTCCTGACGTTATTGATATAATGCTACATTTTACTGTTTGTAAAGTGACAGACTGGCAGTGAGGCAGCACGTTGGGATGCTGACTTGTAAAACTAGGATCACGATGATACTCACACTACTTCATTAAGCCCTGAATTGATCAAGTTTCTACCTGATATCATAAACTGTAGGGAAAGAGGTGACGGATAAATTGCTGATGACCTGTGGAGGTGGCCAGATGGTCCCATGGTATCAACTTTCTTAACTTCCAGACACTGCATTAAGTTGATGAAAGTCTAAAGGTGCATTATTCTTCCCGCAACAGAAGGCATCACCACCGAAGCACCCACAGACAGCAGCACAGTGAAAGAGAAAAGCAAGGGGCATGACTTTAGAAAAGAGGGAGTAAGTGAATGAAAAACTGGGGTGGGAGGTCCATTTGCTGTTCTACCTGGTTGGGGCTAAAAGTTTACAGGACCAGAGCAGGAAGGACTGGTGAAAGGGCAGGCAGGAGCTAGGATGGCAGGTGGGTGGGGGTTAGGAATTGGTAAGAGGAGTGGATAGAGCCCTTACAAACACACGCAGCAAATAAAACAGGATTTTGTATTTCATACAGCTATTTATCCACTTACGTGACAATAGGGACTGAACATGTAGTAAAAAGACTGAAGTCAGCTGCGCTGCAATCAGGGTCACAGCAGCAATTTACATCACACTGTGCCACCAACAGATCACAAACACACAGCTTGGCAACTGCAGGAGAGATTTAAATTAGAATTAGAACTTTACACATTACAACATGTTCCCTAGCACTTTCATTTTTCACCCTACTTTATTTCTGACAATAGTCAAAAGTCTATATCCAAAATCATGTACTTTTTTTTTTTTAAAAAAAAGCGCCATTTTTAAAAGCCACCTTTTCTGCTACTTAGCAAATCTATTTGGAACACAATAACAAAACCAAAGCCATACTAAGATGATGGTGTATTCCCTGTGAAATAAAAAAAGCGCAACTTAACTGGAATTTAGAGGGTATGAAAATATACTCAGCTCTGCAGAGGGGAAAAAAGAAAAAGATACAAGCCAGGTATGCTTATCTACTTGCTTCAGCCTATTGGGGAAAAAAAAAAAACAAACAACAAACATCTTGATAGAGCAACGAGATATTTACAAGTATTGAGAATGTCTCAGGGTCCATTAATATATTTTCCTGATGTGCCAACATAACCATAGTTGACTTTTTTGATATAGTTTTTTCTTTCAGTCTTTAGGTAGTGTGAAATATTGCAACAATACAGAAAGTAATTGCTAGCAATACTGTAAACTGCCTCAATAAAATACATCTAGCAACTTCTTAAAACCTTCTTAGGTTTCAATGTTTATAAATTCGAAGAACAAATATTACTCTACTGAACTGGTTTTGAGAGTTGCTGCTCTGTAATAAATCTAGAGTTAAGAACTGTACAGTATGAAGAAAATTAAGACCCGTGCTCCGTAAAAAGACATTCAAAGGACACGTATTTTCATAACTAGCGCTTCTTTTATTTCAATTTGACTCTTGGCTGTTTCTCTATGGCCTCCTGGATGCTCTCTGACCATCTGAACAGCATCCAGGTATTTCCTGGAATCTCTGAAGTTCTGACTGTTCCAGTTTAGCACCGGAATCCTTAGCTCACCTTGTAAACAAGAAAAGTTTAAACACGGATGATTAGATTCAAGGCTATGTCTCTGAGATCAGGGATTTAAGTCTTTTCCCTAAGGAGGTACGCACTGGGACATGTTTAATTTGGCAAGTAATCTAGGGAAGCTGAACTGATGGTAACAACACTGGGAAATCAAAAGATCAATAAAAGTCTACCTGCCAATTAGAAGACACAGGGGAAACACCTTAACAGCACAATAACAAGTTGTGATCTATATTGCCATAGCGCCACTATATATCCACAGAGCTGAGGCTGAATGAGGAGTCTTGGGGCAAACTGTGTGCACAGGCAGCTCGGTCTTTAAGTGGAGATCTCCAGCCAGGGCGAGTCTGGGTCCCCTCTGGGAGGCTCAAAGCAGGGTGCGGGGAGAACCTGCCCTCGTCAGCACCAACTCACAGGACTGTGCATGCAGGGATCAGCGTGCCCAGGACCCGAAGGCTGTGAAGGGTCTTGCTGAGCCCTGCCTTTCTGAGGAGGCCTCGAGCCCTGGGTGCAGTGAGGTGCTGCCAGAGAGGGGTGCTCAGAGCCGCGCTGCAGCACAGCCCCGATAAATCCCCCGGGGAAAGCAGGGCAGCTGCCGAGCAGGCCTGCCCCAGCCGTGAGCGGTTACAGCGGGAGCCGGGGGTAGAGCAAGGGCTCAGAGGCGACAGGAGACCGTGAACGGGGCTCCCCTTGGCCCGGGAAGGGCCGCCGGTGCCCCGCAGACCCCTCCCCGCAGGGCACCCACCGTCCGTGA